AATGTATGGTCATTGCAGATATTGTAAACTCTCATAGCAACTGGCAACTGATCAATTCTGATGATGAGAGAGAGTCTTCTACACCACTGAGTTACTTTCTCTTTCTGTGGTGTACCCATACCAGAAACAGAGCAATAAAAAACCGAGTAACCATAATTCTGCACCATTGTGATTAATCAAGAATCAAACTTGACATCATTAATAAAAAAAAAAAATTAAAACGAAATGTCAATTCGTTTTGGAAACTATCATTATCGTCGTCTCGGAAATTAGTTCTAATTCTATTGATGTAATTATTCTCCAACCTTACACAACAAAATGTAGCCACATCCTTCCCAACCTCAGCTGAAGCAAAAGAAAAAATAGATAAACACTATGTAGATCTCCCTCCAACAATTTATTCCAACCCCCCTTCCCATCCCTCTGCAAAAAGGGTAATAGAATAGTGGATATCACAAAGTGCCTTATAATTGATGCTATACTGATCTTATCTCTTTGTGGTTGTGGTTTGGACTCCCAACCTCGAGGTCGGGGGTTCAAAACTCTCGCTGTGCAAGTCGCTTGTGTCCTTGGGCAAGGCACTTTATCTACGGTTGTCTCTCTCCACCCAGGAGTAAAAGTGGGTACCTGGTAGGTTCAAACACAGCCTGCGCTGAATACAGCTGCAACATTATGGAATTCCCCTATGGGGCCTGAGTGTGTGTTCCATATGTACTTGATCCAATTATCCGGGGTAATAATGTTCAGCGCATAGAGAAGTTTGATATGCGCTATATAAGTATACAATAATAATAATAATAATATCTCGGACTTTGATTGATGGAAGTATTGTATCAAGTTTTTTTTAGCCAATTAATGCGAATCTAAAATCTACTATCAAGATGATACAAGTGTAATACCAAATGATTTAAGTTTCCAAGGTCAATTGAGTATTTTACTTAAATTTATATTTACATATACCTGTTGAAACTGGCTAATTTGCATAAATGGCAATAAAAAAATATCATTTTGATTAAAATAATAAAATGTATGTTCTAGTAATTATTGATAAATTTAAAATGAAACATATAAAATCAGACATCAGAATTTCCACCATGATAATAATAATAATAATAATAATAATAATAATAAATAACATTTTTATAGAGCAAAAGACAGCGCTTTGAATTCCCAGTTCTGTAATCACTCCATAAAACTGGTATTGAAAACATTAATTAATATCCATGACCTAATCACCTTAAGATGCATCATTTAGTGTATATCATAATATTTCTAAAATAAATTATAATTATTATAAATCAAACTTCGTAATTAGACTTCAATACCCAGCATGACATAAATAACCTACTAATTGGCCCAAAAAAAATGACATGAATATCAAAGCGGAAGTAGGACTCTTAACAAAAATATGAGCATGGTAATAAATTGATGGCCTTGACTTTCCTGGCTGCATTGATCACTGTCATAATCCAATAGGCAACCAGTATTGTATGCAGTTATCAGAAATTGCACAGATAGTACAAGAGGGAATGAAGTAGATAATATCTACAAGCTATTAAACATTAATAAATATTTCTTACGTATAAAGGCCACCTTCTCAAGCACAGCATTTCTGTTGTATAATCAATAAGGGACCACATACTATTTTCAGCATGATTACTAGAGTGCAAACCATTTGCTTTAGGGGAAAGGAGGTTGGCAGTGTAGGCATATGTACTCTTTCATGATAATATGATAAATATAAATATATAAATAAGTAAATTGCAAAATAGACCTACTGTATACAGTAGAACCCCTCCTTTGGGATACCCCTATTAAGGGGACACTCTTCTGTGAAACAAGGGGCAATACAGTATATCTTTTAACACTACAGCCAACCCCTATTAAGGGGACACCCCTACTAAGGGGACGGGACACTTTCTGAGTGTGCCAAAAGGTCAAATTACCCCTATTAAGGGGACACTTAATTTTTTTTTCATTGTATCACAACAATTACAGCAGTCTCAAAATAAGACATATTCATTTAACTTTGAATTTTGACACATTTTGAGCAATAGACCAGAATTTTCTCCCCTGAATACTTAAGAGTTAATATAGGTATAGGCCTACTGCATGTGTTACTTCGTGCCAATCTTTTTTTACCCTTTACCATGAGGATTTCTTTTTTTTTTCATTTTTCGTGTACTTTCATATAACATTATAATCCATACCATAACTCGCACCCTTAATTCCAAGTCGTTACTCTATTCATACTATATTCATCAAATAGAAAGCTCAATATTTAAAAAAAAAAATAAAGAATATTTGGTCAGTAACATTGCATCATGAATTGGGAACATATTTTAATTACATTTCTGCTGATTTCATATTATAAATGAATTATATTTGCATTGCAAATTATTGCTACAAAGTTCTAATTCTATTGTAAACTATAATTACATGGCAATAAAAATAAAATTATAAAGAATGTATGTCATCGTTATATGAAAACATGCCAAAAACCCCTATTAAGGGGAAAATTTTACGTTTTTGGTTAGTGTCCCCTAAATAGGAGTACCCCTATTCAGGGGACATCCCTTTTAAGGGGACACATTTTTTGGTCCCAAAGGTGTCCTATTAATAGGGGTTCTACTGTATATAAAAGTAAACTGAACAGTTTGCACTAGCAGTTTCAACAAAATAAAAATGCTATAGAATTATAATACAGGTCTCCCTCCATCCAAGTAAAGACCACACTTGGGACTGGGGTTTTCATGGTCTTTATCAGGCATTTAGAAAACATAAAAAATTAGGTATTCATTTGAGGTTATAAAAAGGTGGTCTTTAAGTTCAGGTGATCTTTCATTAGAAAGATCTTTAATTACAGGTAGACCTGTAAACAATTTGTAATATTAATATTAACATTATAGATAATAATGAAGAGCAATTTTATGCACTATAAATATGTATTTTACCCACTATTTTAAAACCTGTAAACTATTTTTAACCTACTGTATAAACATGTTTACCCATCATTTCTTTACTATCGGTTTTGTTTTACATTCTATCAACCACCACAAAAGTGAAATGTAGGATGGTAATTTTTGCTTGCCCTCTATATTCATAAATTACTGTATAAGGACAAATGTCTGTTATAAAATGACAAAGCAAGACTGCAGAGTAAGGAAAGCGGGTAAATTTGAGAATAAATCAAACAAACCCTGAAAGGTAATAATTTATTATAACGTCCTGATAATGTTAGAAGGATTTATGGAGTGAGCATAATATTTTATGTAAATGTGAATATGTATTTAGAGATAAAAACATCTTAGTTGCCTATCTCTCAGAATCAATTTGGCTTTTCTTATTGTTTTGCAGTGTGCATATTATTTCATAATGTTAATGTATGATAAGAGATAAAGTAAATCTTTGTTGCCATTTAACAGGTGCATTTTGAAATTCTTTTAAATAATAAATTTTTATACTGCACCAAAAATACATAACAAATTATTATAAATAGCAAATAAATTCCAATTTAGCAAGAACAAACTATGAAATATCATGTGTAAATTTCTTTTTTTTTTAAATCACTTTGAGTATAATTTGCTACTTTTTGCTTGTAAACTCTATGCTCGAGATTAAGAACTCACTATTTACATTCAAATTTTAGCTGAATGAAATGTCACAGCTTTTAAAATAATGAACTTTGCATTTTATGTTGAATGAATCTGAATTAATGTATCAACTGAATCACTTAAAAACTAGGACCAACACTCAAACGCATTATCAAATCTGGCTATAGTTGAAACAGTTGATAAATTATGGTCAAATTTTGAACGTTTGTTACCTTTCAGACTGCTAAGCAGCCCATATTATTAACAAATTGCAAGTCAACAATTACAATCAGCTACACTCAAATAATAATTCTGCATTGCTGGTAAATGACGCAAGAGTCACCTAATGGACAGCAAGATTCAAGTAATGAATAATCCGACTATGCAAGTTACTTTAATATATAAGCTGCATATTCTTACCATATTTGAATATGTATCTAATAATATACTCATTCTATTAACTCTAAATAATAATTATTTAATACAGAAACTGCCATAATTTTGATAGAAATCCAATTTAACCACTATGAAAATTACACAGGTAATAAAAAAATTCTCAATATTAATATTATTGAAGATAATGTTAATGATTTTTAAAATTTAATATACCTTCCTTTCATTATTTTGCAATAAAAGACCATGTCAGATAACCTATAATTAAAATTCATATTGAACTGTTTTGTTTGTATATTTAGGTACAGTAAATACACTATTTGGCTTTTAAATTGAAAACATTTCCCTCTGCAGTAATTGATGACTGTTCACAGCATAGATCTATCATTGGGTGATAATCAAATTAGATTTTTATTGTAAAAAAATCAATGAACTGTAAATGAATCATTTTGCAGTAACTTTCTCATTTGATGTTTATCACATTTGATTCTGTTAAAGCAATGAACATTTATGTAGTGTCAATCGACCATAACAAATGACCAATCAGAACAGGGCCAGTCATGTTTACATATGTTTACACTGTCTATTTTTTAGACCTTAGCAACCAATATCCAACAGACAAGCAAATAGGTCTATTTAATGTTTTAGGCCTACTTGAATATTTTTTTGGGGGGTTTGAAGATTTTACCAATTAGGTATATCCTAGCTGGGGGCCTGTTCAGATTTATAGATTCTAAATAACATATTCTCAAAAGGAAAAAAAAAATAATGCATTGACATGAATAAACACATTGGTGTGATTACAGGAAATACAGTACAGTCATGTTTTAACAAAAGTGTACTTCAAAGTATTAAAGATAATAATAGACAAGGAAACAATAAAGTAGGCCTAATTATACAGAAACACAATATGGCATATGTTGTAATTTTGTTTGAAGACATTTATAATAGAGGATTATCAATAATAGTAAAGACTGTTATCTTTACTTCAAAACCACATGTTGATCCTCTTACCTGTGTTTCAAGATTCTCTCCACTGTCACTATTATCCTGGTCTGAATAATACGAATCATCGTCATCATCACTTTCATTGTATGCACCATCAGCAATAATATCTATAAAGAAAAATACAAGCTATGTAAATTATATGATATCAATATGACAGTATAAGTACTTTTAGGAACAGGTCTACATACGACAGTGTCATACAACGCAGCCCAATGCGATTTGTCCTCGCATCCTGTCTAAGTGAGCTAAACGATTCATCATGGGACAGTGTCAGCGGTACCCATGTCGTAGAATAGTAGACATGTTTAGACTCGAGACTCTCCCAACGAAAATCACGTTGGGCTGCATTCTACGATGCTGTGTGAGTTGGCCTTTAAAGAACCGATCATGATCATCAGAAATTCTCATGGAATGGAACAATAGTTGGATTAATATGAATGTTATACAGTAATGACTAATTTGCAATGATTCAATCCAGTACTATATAGTTCTGTTGAAAAAAAAAAAGAAATCCTTGAAAGATATCAGTACAGACCATGGACCTTTCTAGGGTGTCAATCAAACTTTACAACTGCACAATCAGAACATCCTCTTGTCACACAAACAAATGTGTCCTACAAACGTACAAGTTTACATACAATCTCTTTGTGGGTCCTTAAACAACAATATCCAAGGGGAGGGGGTTAGCAGCCTGCATGCAGTATAAAATAGACAAGCAAACAAGCCGCTGGTCTCAACAATTTGAACTGGCCCCCAGCTTTAAAAGGTTGAATACCCGGGTATTATTCAATTTGTAAATGTTGATGAAACAAAAATAGATGCTAGCTGGAGTACTGATCGTATTTTCACTAATCAAAAAAGATTTGAAATACCATTCACTGTTTTCATTTTGATTCGCATTGAATTGTTGTCAAATGCAGACATAAACAATGGATTTTTGAAACACTAATTGTTTTCAATCTCATTCAGATTGAATCGTACAGAACAAGCAGGCATAAAGATGATAAAGGTTAATGGGATTATAAATTATAACTAAATTATTAATCGTCAGTGTTGGAAATATGCATAGATATTAACAGTAAGCGTCGGGTACAAAACAAGGTGAATACTGCAGTATTTAAAATAACAATTAGTTTCTAGATACATAAACTGTAGGCCTACTACTACTCTTCCTCTACAGTGCTACAGATCAGACCTACCAAATGCCCCACATTCAGCATGAAATTCATGCAAAAAAAATTTTCCCCATGCCACTTATAAAATCTATTTAAAAGTCACATATTCCTTATTTCACAGGCTCATACATACAACTATAGTAGAATACTCAGTTTTACCATATAAATGTACTACTGGGGCGGACTGCTATAAGTGGTCTTCAGACGGTCTTAACGGTTAGCAGGCTATAATCATGACGTCACTACTGGTCTATGATTATAGACCATTGCTTAACCACGGTCTAACAAGTTAGCCGTCTTAAATTTTAAAGCCTACTCGGAGGGGGCTTACAACAGTCTTAAATCATTTTCATCATGGCGTTCTGCAGATTAATACAACAGTGCAATGGCAAGACCTAGGCCTAGATCGTCAAAGTTGAAGAATGGAACGACGAATATTTCGCACCCTCCTCAACATCTGTAAAAATAGGTCTAGGTTTATTTACGTTCATTTCGACACATTTGCGTGCATCGAGCACGCATGACGTCGCCCTCAATCTTATGTTACCAGGGAGTGCTTGTTTGCGTTTCAATACTCAAAGCGGTAGGGAAGACTGTTTCATAGCAATGGTCATAGAGGAATGACTTTAGTAACACTGTCTAAGTGATAAAGCCGGCTTTATTCGAGAAGTTAAGACTACCAGTTAAGACTGTTTTATAGCAATCCGCCCCTAAAATAGATTTTGCCTAAAACGGTCATTTTGTCCATTGATTTTATCTCCCCTGCTCCTGTTCTCAGTATTCATTTACTGCCATCTAGAGGTACAGTATTATTATTCTTCACAAAATTTTCTGACCTGAGCACCAACCATGGTAGGTGTGGTGGTGAGGACCTCTACTCTATAAGTATATATTACTTGAATATTCAACTTTGGTACAGTAGGTTTGCATATTTACCTATGGACTGGCAAACATGTTTTTTTTTTACAAAGCTGCAGAAAGCAAATTCAGAAAGTTCCAATTTACTCCAGTGGTCATCATCCTAGTCTGCTATAATGGCTCCAATCATGGCAGACAAAAATATTTGACCAGGACCTGGCTCACAGCAACCAAGTCTCTATCCCACATGACCACAGTACATTATATCATTAAGTTAGATTAACTCAAAACTAGAATGTCTATTTTTAGCTAAACTACTAATCATGCGTCTTCATAATCAGAAGTAAAAATTGCATATTGTATGCATTGAGTTCAGTCCCATGAGAGTTTGCATTAAGATCAGTATATTAATTAATGCCTCTAGCGCTTCCAGCTTAGGAGGTACATTGACAGACTCATGATGTCATTGGCAGTGGTGTATTTTATATGCAAAAAAAAAAATGATTGATATTTCTTACATTTTAAAAGAAAATTATGCTAATTTATTGGCTTTATTTTCTTCCACTCTGATTCAAAATATATTATTTTCAAGAATTTTTAATGTAACTTTAAATGTTTTAGTAGTTTAAAAAGGTTATCAAAAATTGTGATTCTAAAATAGACAGAACATATTTGGTAGGTTAATAATAATTGGGAGATGTTGTCACTATAATTATCATTTCTGTCACATATTGTCCTTATTTGCAACCAATCATACTGTACAAGCACATCTCAGAATGGCAACTGGAATTACTTCTTCCAGCTTATCTCATATTTCTAATTACTGTGTGTACTTCCTCTCATACTATTATAATACATTTCAAGTCAGCAGACAAGTATCCACACTATTATTACTGTCTGTAGGCTCCATGGTAGGCTCTACACTAACTTATTCCTTCCAATCTTGGCTTGTTAGTCTCTCATCTTTCGATTGCCTGCTGTAATTAAGGTATAAGAAGTAGCATGTTTGTAGATGACATGTACTTCAATACCAATATCTTTTCACATAGATACAATCGTAAATTACAGAATAGAACATTAATTTTCGAAATTCCACCATTTAATTCATCACAACAGCAGATTACCTTGCAATATATTAATTTGAAATATACACAATTTGAAGGAATAAGTTTAACGTGGCATGAAACCTACAGACAGTTATGAAACTTGTTGAAAAAAATATATGTTTGGTTAAAAATTAATATTAAAAAAAATTATGAATATATCTTCATAATTAAACACAAAGTTAAATGGATTGGATTTATTCCCTGTAAACACCAAGGATAACCCATATGCAGTGGCGTCCTTCTAGTGGCGATTATGCAGTACACCAGGAGACAATCCCCTACACTTTTTCGAAGAGTGTAGTGTATTCTTTAAAATGCAAATATGGGCAATATTATTGCACATGGGACTAACAACATTAATGTCCAAAAGATGGTGCACTACTGAACCTTTCATTTTAGCCCTCCAGCTGAAACACAAAGAGAGCAGCGATGGGAATTAATCTGGGAACAGAGAGATCTCCACGGTTCAGCGCACATACTGTTAGAGTGGCTACCGCTGATTTAGTCGATTACCGCCAGTTTAGCCAAATAAGCTAAGCTGCTCTCTCATTAACTAATTATAATTGCTATCCCCTTTGGAAGGGACCATTTAGCATACTCTGATGGCCGAGTACACAAAGCTTGTTACCAAAATTCCCAAACATCTTGGCAAACTTTATCATTCTGACTACACACTACATAGCATCTTAATTACAGCATGCAGTCATGATTACATTAATCACTGAATACCAAACCATGCATTGATTTAAAAAGAAAGTCACCTAAATGAAATCTCTAAGCCCTGCAGAGCTAAATTATAAATCCTTCAAATTAAATACATTTTCATTAATTTAGTATCTAGTACACTTTTTAGACTTGCACGCTTATCAAATAGCAAGAAACTTGTCAACTGTCGCTACGATAAAAAGCAAAAATTAGCGCGGATCCTAGCAGCACTACAACTTATTTAGTTTTAGACATTTGGTCTAACTAGACGACAGCTTTACTCACAAATTTATGTCAAAAATTAATGCCTATTATCCAAACTGATATAGAGAGCTCTGGTGAGACATTCCCAAAGATAATTGTCTACAGTTAAAGCAGTTTTTTGTAAGCTGGAGCGTCTGGTTATGGGAAAAATTGGTCCAATTTTATTGCTCGCAATCAAAATTTGCGACCACGGTATTAAGGCAAATATGAAGTGAAATCAGCAGTACATGGCTTACATCAAAAAGGAAAAAATTGGAACTGCTGCAAATATACGTAGCCAAATATTTGCTTAATTGTATTTCAAAACTTACTTCGGATAGACTTGAGAGAATACTACATTGGATGACGAAAGTTACAAGCTGTACTAGAATACACTAACACTAGTGCTGTATATGCGTTGGTTGAGCGTTAGGTTGAGAAGTAATGTTCCTGCTGTGCTGCGGCTGCTGTGGGTCCCCAGGGACACAGCCCAAATTTCCAAGTTGAATGAGGACAAATATACAATTACTAGTGTTTTTTTCAAATAGTTATCCTAAAGCCCCGGAAATGAGTAACCAATGGACCTTGATTTTTTCCCCAAAATTTTAGAATGGAAGCAACTATATATAGTATTTCCTTTAAAACTGTTTCCAAGTTTTAGAGGTAGACTTTGTTTCTTTAGCAAAAAGAGGAGAAAATTAGAGATTGCATCAAGGATGATGCAAAGGCAGGGGTCCCAAGTTGAAGAACTCCATTTGCAGGAGATTTTGTCGGGAACCTTTGGCCGCCTGCAAATACAACGCGTGACGCGTTGCAGCCAATACTCAACTACTCATAATATCAAATACTTGACATTCAATGATCAAACACACAGTTAACTTGCTCTTCCTTTCATTTTTATTTACACAATGTAAATTATACCATGAAATTACATAATTCTGGAATCTACTAATCTGTACAGTAGGCCTGGTCTAATATTATACATTTATTTACGTCACTTGGGCCTACTACATCAATATCATTAATTACATCAATTTACAGTTCTTTTCTGGCATCTGTTAGTTTAATATTGTATTCAACAGTAGTAGTAGTCTAGTAGCTTCTTTGCTGCTAAAAGAAGAGCGGAATTTGGATGCAGATCAATCATGGCAAACAAGTCTGTAAACATAAAAAAATAACGAAAATATTATCTCAAAATGAATGTAACCTAATTTGTTTTTATTCTTGTTAAAATATCGATAGTCTTGTCTAGGTTTACGTAGCTTGACTTGATAAACTTTAACTGAGGTCTAGACCTAAGGTATTTTGAGGACGGTTGGCCTAGGCCTAGTCTAGGCCCTAGCTAGTACAGGAAAAAAATGGCTCGAGGAGGCGGCTAGGCTTAGGCCTATGTAGGATAACGACGAGTGTAGGCCTCTAAACCATCCATTTCCAAGTCACAAAACTTAATGTAGAACGTATGATTTATTATCACAATCACATAAAACTGTTTAAAAAGAAGTCAACATACCTTTAAATATCTTTCAACATCGGCCATTCCATCGTTCTTCACCGATATTACAGCATAACCAACAACATGGACATCCATGCTTTCAAACAGTATACTTTTTCCCAGAGTTGAGTTCGTTGACCTCGATGGTGCGCCCCCCCAGTTGCGAACGTACTTCTTGAATTGTGAATTAAAGCACATGAATTTTTGCGTTTCTTCGCTGGAGCCATATTTTTACTTATTATTTTCGACTATTAATAATTGTATGATTATTTTCATGAAACAGCTCGATAAAATTAACTTATGCAAAAAGTTAGCTGGAGGCCTGTATTTTACGGGTCAAAGGGCGTGTTGTTTACGAGGTTGTTTAGATATCAAATCACACTGCAGGCATGGTCTCAAGCCGGGCGTTGGAAGGATGGGCGCATCGACTTTTTTAATAAACAAAGTGTGTTTTGATTCCATGTTTTCAGCAGCTACCGTAATTAATTGCAAATGCATTATAAACAGTGATGGTAGGGAGTGGAATAAACTTATTTGTGATTGTTTACGATTGTTTTTTAACATCCTGAGTTATGTTTTTACCTAGGCCAAGCTGATATTCAAAATTAAATAGCCTACTCACATTTTCAAAAATTTACAGGAGAATTTTTTTCATGCGGTAGAAAAACATAAGCTTAGTAGCAAGGAAGTAGCAGTAGACTTGGGACCTCTGCAAAGGTTCTGTACCATCAAGCTATAGCCTCCTACTTCCTATTATTTCATTAATGTGTGTGCTTACCTTGCGGTCGCTTACTTAATTGGTCCACTGGTTGGCTGGACAAACCTAATACCTTCACTACTGCAACTTCTTTTTCCGTTTCTTTGGTCTGGTTATATAATCGTAATTCACTGTCTTTTGATCTTTGCAAAACCTATCGAATACAAAAAGAGATATTTTTTTTCAAATAAAATTTCAGCTTTCAAAAGTTACACTTGATATATAAATTAAAAACAAGACAGAAGGCAAAGAAGGTACAGTAATAAAAATAATAAATATATCTTATGACAGGGCAGCCTGAAAAAAAGGAGCCGAAAAAAACACACATAATCAAGAGTAAGCAACTTGTAGTCAAATTTGATTCTGACATCACAACTTGTTCAAGTGAAACATTAATATTGAACTGCTTCAATAAAAGAGATGTGCAGTTTTAGTAATATTCTCATTACAAGAATTACATTAACAAATGTCTATAATGAGAATATTAGTTAATTAGATATTTGTTTTCCTTTCAGAAAAAAAATTCCATGAAATGATCAATATTTAAAAAACATGGGTCAGTAATCTGGTATGACCTTGGCATGGGTCTATGATTGATTTTCTAGTCATTTCTGATCGAACACACAACAAATTGTGTATAAACTGTTTTATTCATGAATGCTCAAATTTAAGAATTCATTTAACAGCTGGTAACATGAGCACCGTAAATGCTCTAATACAAAAAATAAAATTTTCGGAGGCTTCAGTGCAGCGGCGCTTATTCGAGAGCGGCGCTTAGCGAAAAAAAATCAGGTTCAGTGCGGCGCTTATTTGAGAGCGGCGTTTATTTGAGCATTTTTGGTAGTTAGTTACAATACTGTTAGATGTCAGAATTATCCATTGTGTATCCTATGCAGTGGTAAGGCTCTCGGTTTCCAATCGAGAGGTCAGGGTTCAAATCTAAGGCTGTTTAAGTTGTTCGGTATTTTTGGACGATAATTTTCATCACCTTCAAAGGCGTACAAAACATATGCTTTAGAGGCAAATGGGATTAAAAGTGTAAGCATGTACTCTTTTATGAAAAAGAAATGATTTCAAAATGAACAAAATTATCATATTACTGTGTACTTTTGCAAAGGGAAGGGAGGGGATCAATTAAATGAGTATCTCTGAACATTATGAAAATGATGAAAATAACGAATGAACCCTTATCTGCATGCTCCACTCCACCCAGTAGTTGAATGAGTACCTGGTTGGGTTGCATACTACTGCGCTGAATACGGTTATAACTACTGAACCTCTTGCTCTAAATTATGGTGATCAGATGACCAGGGGTAATAATTATTACATTATTATGGGAAACTATACATTTGAAATATATAAATTATTATCATTATAGATTGATTACATTTTTTTTTTAATTTTCTCTATTACGTTTAATTATAAGTTTGTTAGTTTTGAAAAAAAAAAATCTGTGCACAAATGGCATGGTTTAAACAAATTCCCTAAATGTCAAAAAAATAATGTTTGTGAGTATATCAAGTCAACTTTGAGGGTTGTCCTCCCACCCCTACTTTCTAGATACATGTTTCCCCTTTTGAAAGTAATATCCCACTATCTGGATCATTGAGTCCTGCTTTTGAACATTCAAGTACTGTACTGTTAGAAAGTCTAAAAAACAATCACTGACCAATTCTGTCAGAGCCAAATGCCAAGCATAGTACTGACTGTCCAAGCATTACAATCAAGGATCAAGCATGACAGAGGATGTACCAAGTACCACAAAATGTGACGCATCAAGGTACTTGGGAGAACATGGTACTGTACTTATATAGTGCCTAGTTCAAGAAAGCTTCAAAACTCTGATGAAAGTGAAGCAAACGAAATTCTTAGTAGATTAAAAAATAACTTGGAATTCTGTATAATTACATGTTTCTTGGTGATTCCTCGATATATATTTTTAGAATGCAGACATGTTACAGACAAACATAAACTGTTACGTAAAATGTAAAGTTCACACTAACCTCAGACATGTTAATATCACCTGTTGCAAGAGTTTTGTAGCCCAAAATTGTCCTGTTTTTGTAGCGTTTTCTTCTTTGTAGCATAACTTGTAACCGGTTTCCATCTCGTTTCAGAAAATGTGGGTACTATGAAAAACAATTTCGAAAGCAATTAATTTATGTTTAATACAATACATATGATAAATTGTAACATATTTATAACAGTAATAAATAATAATAATTGGGGTTTGTAATAGCACATCCTCAAGCACTTGAGTGCAAGAATATATAATCTATATTAACTAAATTTTTATATACATTAAGAACATACAAAACAAAATGAAAATAATCATGTACTAATAATGCAATATGAAAGGATTATATAGTACAAAATATAAATTAACAACAATAACTAAAAAAATCTGAATACATTCTTTCATTTCTAAATCTTACAAACTATAATCTTAAAACACCTTTATAATTCTTAAATGCAGTCATCAAAAAAAAAATTCACTGACATTAACAGAATCAAACACTAACTACTCTATAATGTTGTTGCTATGGAAAAAATTTTACCTCATCAGCATAAAAAAATAATTTGCATAATGCAGTACAGCAAAATAGGTAGTTGCACATTTATTATTGATTGAAATTAGCTAACACTATTATTTTTTTACACAAAAGTTTTCATTAACACGTTGTTGACTGCCAGACCCTTTTTTAAGGTTCTTTTCCATGTGCCAAAACAAGTTTACATGTACAGTACAAACATACTTTTTAATATGTTCAAAGGGCAACGTAACACAACCAACATACATACGTCATTTGTATGTTATCGTCAAGGTCAGGGATGTCACCACGCTGGTCGGCGATGGACGGGCCTGTCCAGCACTCAACATTTCCGACCAGGATTTACAGGCTCCCGACCACCACTATTAATTCAACAGTTTACAAATTGTAACAAAATAATTAGTTTACCTAAACACAATAGACAAGCTAAATTGATAGATAAAGACAATAAGAATACAATAAATGTTTCCGTGGTTACGTTAATTGTAACAAAATACTGCACTGCCCTGCTATTTATCGCTAACTTAACAGCCTAGGCCTAGGCCCAGTTGAGTCATAGCGAACATCGTGGGCCGGCATGACACGGTTACACATTCAAAGGTTAATGTTGAAATCGTGACCATTCAAGTGTTTTATTATGTGATCATGGTCCGGGGCAGGAAGATTATTAAAAATTTACGAAACCTGATTTATGTTTTATTTCTTTACTTTCCTTTCATTTTGTATTTTAAGTTTTTCACTTTTAATTATAATTGATATATAATGTGTGTAAATGGACAAAAAATAAATAAATGAGTGCACATGAATCAGTGACATACACATTCATCGTGGTAATCGTCAAACATGTGAAATTACGGCAAACAATGCGGCTGGGTACAGTCGGATCGACGCCTTGTCGCCGGGATTTGTTCATTATTATTTTTTAATCTAAAACAAAACATGTCAACTATTGAATTTAATTAGGCCTACAGTAAGTCTCATCTTCATCTGTTTTGTTGCATTCCTCAAATTCTGGCCTAAGCCTACCTGGGCCTAGCCAAAAAAAAAATCGCATCAGCTAGCCTTGGGCCTAGGCCTGCTCGACTTACTTAGGCCTTTCGGTTTTTAAAAGCTTTCACGAATACGGCGAACCCCCATCCCACCCCCGGGAAAACGGGGGGTTGCACCCCCACCCCCGGGAAAACGCGGAATGATCGCCGACCGGCACTTCAAAAAGCTGGTGACAACCCTGCAAGGTGTACCTTCCCCAAACTACAAGCTGTTGAGTCTGTGGTTCTACAATGTATAACAAAGAAGTAATAAATACTAGAATGTTACTCTAATTTTGACAATTACAGTATACTCGTACCTGGCACCCTCAGCAAAACTCTGTGGGACCAGTATACTTGTCACTGGCAGCCAACGTGTTAATATGTTAAGAAGGGTTCTAAAATGCTTAATGTTTCATATTTGCCATTGGAAATTAATTAACCTACTATTTAGCTCCGGTTTAGAGTCTATGATAAGCATCCTTGAAATACAACCTTAATGTTGCTTGACCAGTGAAATTATGATATTAATTGACCACACTAATGGTCAAGCTTATAGAACACAAGTTAACAATGCTAAAAATAGCAAAAATTTCGCCTCAGGCATGGATATGAAAGTAGTTTAGAGATATTAGACATTAGCCGTCCAATATATGCAAATACATTACACAATTTTTGACACTTTCAGAGACAGGTGTGGACAGTAGCAGTTGAGTGAAAATAGTGTCAATTCAATTCCATGCTTTATCTGCTTTAAAGCAACAATATGGTCATGTGATCACCTGATTCAGCATTGCATCTCAAAAGAAGTTTACCTACATTTATCCTAGCCAATTACACTGATGGAAATCTTGAGATTTTTACATTTTTAGAAAGCATTATGTGTTTATTAAGTGACCGACGCACTCTTTTTTTATTCTGTAAGTCAATAAGATTATATATGTTCAATCCTAATACCTTTTGCATTATTTTTGTATGCAAGGGTACCATGTTGTAAATTACCTAAAAAATCTGATGAAATATTATCCTTATTAACTTCCAACAAGAAAAAATATCGAAAAGAATAATTTTTTTTACTGATTTATAGATCAAAATTCCTTATATACCAAAGGTCTATGAAAAAGAATACAGCAAAATGAAAATTATTCATATGTCTGTTGATGAAAATGTTTGTTCTCATTCAAGATTATAATTGTACGATTAGCTAAATTAAATAAAACAATTCAAATATGAAATTGAATTTATTTAGCTCATGACTGACACTACATCTTTAGCATATCTAATTACAAAACAAGCAAACGTTTATGATGGCCAGGAATTAACAGAGACTTGGGATTGGTTTGTCTCTGAAGACCCTTCTAACAAAATAATTAAATAAATACACAATACTACTTATGCTTATTTATAAATTTGATTTGTAATCATTATTTTCTTAGCATGGTTGCTTTAAAATCTATATAGTTAGTTGATATTGGGCATAATTTATGCTACTTTCGCAAAATCCGTATTAAAGTAGAAACGTGTCAGAATGTCACTCCGATTGAGGGTAAAAAATACATTATTATTCCTATTTAACACCGACTATCCTAATGCACAGTAAGTGCAATCTCTCTGAATACTGTACTAGTAACATGAATTCCAACCTCACCTGTAAATTATAAATCATTTTAAAATTTTTCAATTTAGAGCAATTACGTAAATTTTAGTTTGTATTAATTGGTAATGTATAATAATAATCATCACTGATAATAATAATAATAATAATAATAATAATAATAATAATAATAATAATAATAATAATAATAATAATCATCAATTAATAATAAATATTGCAAAATAATTCTCTGGGGACAGCATTTCAGGTTTTGTATGATTTATCATGATGGCAGGCATTGCAAGTTGACCTTATTATCCATCTGGTATCCCCATCTCATCTCCTTATGAATCATATTTAAGTTCATCATAATTTATCAATCTCATAACTACATAATTCTAATTATGAAATTACATACAGTACTTATACTAGAACAATAATCCCTTTTGTGAAACAGCCCACCTACTGTATTAACAAGAAATGACTTAAAACTTAATACGGTCATTGACGTAAGGCCATTATAAATACTTATAGCTAATCACACAAATGAATATTATGTTTAAGAAACACAAACCAAATACTATCAGTATGACTGTCACTGTTCTATTTAAACTTTTTAAAAGTATTATATCATAAATAATATATTATAAATTATAGAAATCACTATTAAGCAATTAGTAGAGTTCCACATAGTACACTGTAAGAAAATTATTATATGAAGGTTAGATTAATGCTTGAAAAAATTTTTTGAATGCATTAAATCAAACCTAAGTATAATAATTTTCCACCTAGTGTATGATGCGTGCTCTACTAATTGCTTTATAAAGTCAATTGCCGTCTTTTAATTTTAGTTCTGATAACCAACTGTTACTTATCGGTTGCTATAGTGATATGATCAGTATACTGTCTGTTTTGTGCTGCAATATGATGCGTTATCTACACATCAGCAGTACAGTACAGATACAATGAATAACTATTGTAATTTGTACTGTGTCACTGTCAGAAGAAATTGTTTGTAATGCTTTTTTGATACAGTACATTCGTCAAAAAAATAAACATTTCTCAAAGCGTTCGAGAGAGAGTACAGTCACTGACATTTTGGTCGGTGCAGACAGGTAAAATTGTGTGATGATTTCAAAACTAGTAGGCCTACTAAGTAGAGGAGGAGGCGTAGGCCGCATCCTGCCTGGCCGAAGGCCTACATTTAAATTAGTTCCTCGAGTCTCTGAAATCGGTCTAGAATATTCCTATTACAATTATAGTTTGTTTAGTTTATTAGGGTTCACTGATTCAAGGAATTTTTTGTTCATATGTAATATTGAATTTGAAGTAAATTACAATTTTCAATAGCGGTGTGCGATACCTTTGTGGTGACAAAAATTAGTTATTTTTTTTGCACACGAGTCTAAAAAAAATCAAGCCAAGCGTCCAATAAGTGAAAAATTAGTGGACAGTGGGCGATAGGAAAACAACATTGAGAGTTGCAGTAATGACGTCACGACTGACTTTAATAGTTTGATTTAATTTCATCAGGTGGTGCTATACAATGTAGGCCCTACTGTATCACATAAGACAAACAATGATCCAAAAATATAATATTTGCAATTACACGTATAAGACAACCCTTTGTTTTGTTATTGTAATTTGCTATTTTAAGCATAGAGTCTTATACGCAAGTACACGGTAAAGGAAATAAACGGTAACATTACTGTACATATCTTCTAACTAAACATTAATTGGTGATTTAAAATTGAAATAATATTAAACAGTAATGTACAGTTTATTTAATCTTAGGAGTTGCCTCCTTGTGTCACAATATATTTCTAGAGATGATTTGTTCAGGCAATAGTCAGACGACACATATCACTGTAGTCCTACAGTACATACCTGTTGGATGTTTTTCTAAATGTTGTCCAAATGTAGATCTTTTTAGTAGAATTAAAATTTTACATACATAAACGATGAACACTAGGATATTGTAAAAGATTATCGTGAAAGTTAAATTTTAATAATACGTAACTTGGTCTGCTGTTGATGCAGTATTACTAATTAGGTATTTACCAGGAATTAGCATAACAGTGGGACGGAATGCAAGTATTAACACTTTACATATTACTGTATGGTTCTAAGCTGCCTTCCTCTAAATTTGCACTCTTTTAAAGAAAACAGGTTTTTTTAATAGCTTAACATTATTTTAATAGCTCTTTTATCAACTATATGTAAATTAGGTAACATTTAACATGTCAAAAACAAGATTTACTTTTACATATCTACCAACTTAAAACAATAGTTAACGATGATCTATTGACTTATTTTTTTAGTTTATAAGCTAAATATGAACTTATACAGTAATACCTCATGATAGAGTTTATATCCTATAATGTGTGAAAAGTTAGACTAGTTTATGCAATTAATATTTTGTAGTTAGGACTATTAGTTAGCACTTAATAAATATCTAAATTTTGAATTATTTTTTGTAAATGAAACAATTCATAGTACATGTATTAAGTATATTATTGTACAATAAAATATTTTTGTTGTACAATTGGTAATGATAATGTCTAACATATTCGTTTATTTTTTCAAAAATATGCATTAAAGCATTTGGGAATTTGAAGTTTGAAATTACAGAAAAAATCAAGGAAAGGCCAAACAAGTGTTAAAAATATTTGTGGAAAAATGATCTGCACTTGTGTTATATCAGTCCCAAAGCTTACATATTTATAATAATCACACAATTTGGTAGTTGTTTTTTTTTTTTTGGCTCAAAAACAAGCAAATTCATTATGCACTCATTATTTAGATTTATAATTTCTCCTCATAAAGTACTTATCAATAGTTTGAAGTATGTGCAATACACAGTTTTCTTATGGTACTTATTTATGGATTCTTATAATAGGGAAACAGTCAAAGCGTAACATCATCATCACCATAGCAACATACTATCGTGAATTACATTTCTGTAGTGCACATCTGTTCTAACCAGCCTCATCTTACAGAATTAAATACACAGGTATACATAATACTTATCTTTCAGAGAGATACTGATCTACAGTATAAACTATCATCGCAACAGCACTGCAAATATTATATTTAAAGATTTAATCTACGAAAACAGTGAGGGAGACCCCCATTATCAATAAATATGGGGCCTTGAAACACCTTAATAATGTATTATCACAATTTATTTTATTTATTTCAACATTTTCTTTAGAGTACAAAACATACCCTTTCTGTGACCTCTCCCTCTGAAAGGGAGTTACACAAAAAATATTGATTTATATCATTTTGAGATAAGATTTATCCTTTCATACTTATGCCTACACATTCAACATACCCAACCTCTCCCTAAAGTGTATGTTTTGTAAATTATGGATGGCCCCTTAGTGAACAATCAACTGAGTTTACACTCACTTTGATAACACTACTGTATGGTACAGTATAGTATTTTGTATTGTTAAAGTTTAGTTGTTTTTTTTTTTATTATTCACAACACATCTGTCTATTACTATAGTTGTTTGTTAACATCATTCATTCATTTTTTTTTTTTGTGCATAATTAGGCTTAGTAAAACTTCAGTATTTATTGCTATGTCTCCCTAATGAATCTACGACTTCATTAGTCATATGGTATTATAATGATGCTTTGTTATGATTGCTTAACATTTAAAAGCTTACATATTAAATTGACGCTAGGTCTTTACTGATCAATGATACTGTATTAAACTAAATAATACTAAAAGTTTAAATCTTACAGTATATTGAGGCCAACATGAAATTAACAGTTTAAATACCAGCAATATAGACAACACATCAGCTTCTGGCATATGTATAAATAAAACAACTGTCAATGTCATTCTACTACTCGCATAAAAAAATACAATCTTTCGAGTGTTTTCTTTATACTAATATAAGTATTTGCATTTCCACCAGACAAGAAGGGCTTGAAAATATAGTCAACAAATATTGCTATTGATTGTGCTGGCAAACATTTTGCAACATATAATATCGGCTATGTTCTCACATGGCTGCTAACGGTTAGCAGGATCCAGATCCTGCTAACCGTTAGCTGCCGTGCGTCCATACGAGAAAACCCGATCCAGATACCAAAAATATGACGATCGAATCACTGGCCAATAAGAAACTGGAAATTGTAAACACGTACGTGTGATTGGTTGATGATAAAAACGCGCTCAACTTGCTAACCGATAGCGCTTGCTAACCGTTAGCAGTATCTGGATTCTGCTAACGGATGGCGCTAAGCGATCGGGCATTCTCACACAGGTGCTAATGGTTAGTGCTAACGGTTAGCCCCCAATCTGGATACTAGGGCTCTCGTGAGAACCAGGCTATTGTCTCTAAAATACAGTATCAGCACAAATTACAACTAGAACTGCAGTCACTCAATAGAGTACATACTGTACCTCCACCCCATGCCTGAACACCAAACAATACACAGGCCAGTTATGGGCAATTCCATTATATTCTTTTTTAAGCTTGAGGATCAAAAAATTTAATCAACTCTTTCTTAAATTATTATGTACGATTCCAATAATGATCCATTCTTTAGTTTTTTGCATAATCTTCCTAACAGACAGAGACATATAGACAGTGGTGAACCTCCTTTGGCAGAGTTACTGTAATAAACACATTGTAAGTATACAAAAGTATTACAGTTGTACTTTGAAATAACATTTAACAATGCGTAAAGCAAATATACTCTCCATTTGGATTGGGATGAGATTACAAATTGTACAAAGATACTGATAACGTACATTTCATCAGCCTACTTTATTTTTCTTCTACTGTAAATTGCATTTTTTAAGACAAGAATGTTTTTCTAATGAATCTTACCTGTAAAGAGAATGATAAGTCCAATTCCGTTTCTAGATTTTTGCTTGAAGAAAATACAATTTCATTTGATCGAAGTGTCCGCTTTGAACTCTGCGTAACACAAAATAAGCAATGGTTAAGAATCCACAATTAACAGAATCAAGTTGGTAGGTATCTTTATGCTGATCCTAGTATTTGATGGTTACAAACATTTAAGTACCATTTTTACAAACTCCTCCTCATCCCAAATAGAGAAGCATTTTTTTTACTATTTTTTTATTTTTTTAAATCATTAATGTATATAGTGCCTTTCTTTGCAAATACTTCTGTCCTAGGATATTGGGTCCCCATGTCACAAGACAATACAAATTACTAACTTATTAGTTCTTATTATTGTCCCTGGTTAATAATTGGCAAACTAATTTCATGCATACTTCATTGTAAACGTGACAATAAAGAAAATCTTATCTTATCTTATCTTATCTTATAACCATGCAATTGAAGGCATGCAAACTAATCCAATAATACCATAAAATCTTTACCACCAGGTACCAACTTCTACAGTACAGTATATATACTCCTGGGAGAAGAAAGGCCATGTGCATTGGCAAAGGACACAAACCAAAGTTTATAAATTGTTCAAATCCAAAAAATGAGAGCGCGAACTGCAACCGTCCTACAGTACCCAATAAAATGTAACTGTAGTTACTGTAATTTTCTATTAAACAATGGTAATAACTATATCACTATAATAGTTAATCACTGTGGTTCCCCTTATCAGTTACATAATTGTTAATTGGTTAATTAATTACATGTGGGTATTTTTAAGCCATAGCTTATTTTAACCTTTAGGCACACATTCTTGTATCGAATTAAAATAGCCATAAGCTACAATCAACACAGCATGGGGTTGAGGTAATTAATTGTTCAAAAGTGTTTTTTGTGGAGTCTAACACGGGATAAATCCGGAAACAGTTCTCGCCCGAATGGGTGTTACATACAGGAACCGTCTGCTGATATCCGCCAATAGTCCAACGCTGCAAATTGCAGTGTTTTGGAGGAGTAAAACTAACTATAGCATAATATTTGCGCATAATGTTAGCAGCAGGGAGCATTTTTATGACTTAATCCCTTTTTGATTGCTCTAATTTTTTTGGCACACGCCAGAAGTAAAGTTTAAAGTTTGATTTAATTTTGCTTCTTTTACAGTTTATTTCTAAAAACAATTTAACTGAAAAGCTCGATAAAATAAATTATTTCAACGGAGGGCTAGCCTAGAATCCGTTATTATGTCCATTGCCTGCATGTGATCGTGGCACCACTGTTTATTCGTTTAACAATGGTATTTGACAATTGTAGTAATTTGCTATTTTTAAGCCACCATTGTAAAAGAATAAAAGTATATTCATGGTTTATGTGCCCAAAATGCACATCTGAGATTAATTGGAAATTTGCACATTTATGCTCTATGAAGCTTATTGTTGTAGCATCTACGGTCATTTTATCACTCTATTTTGATTCTCCGTCAGCGTCGCCTTCTAATCAACTGGGCTGTTACTTCCAGGCCGGCTTGTGGTTGTTCTTGTAAAAATAATCGTGCCTGGATGTGTAGCAATGCTGTGAATACTGTTGTTCGTTGGTACAAATTTATCATTTTGAAATGGCCAATAATAAACGCGTCAATTATTGCAAACGATGTTATTTTATCATTACCAGTCGTTCAAAAAATGAGATACGTTTTTTTAAAGAAAACAAAACAATAGAAATCATGGGATAAAAACTTATCATTTGCGGACCCCCCGTGGATATAATACCGGTAAGAACCCTATGTAAATTTTTCCCATTCTCACGATGGTAATTTACAATACTTTTTTTGGATAGGTGCATTGAGCTCCCCACTTCACCTTTGCTCCCCCATTAGCCTTCTCCCCATTTCAAAACTCCTAGATATGCCACTGGATACAGGCTCTAAATTCTGAGGTTCAAACCTCTCTATTGCATTCTGCTTTTGTTTTAGGCCAATGCACACCTTCTTTTCTATATCTCTCCTTTCGTGACCAGAAGTATCTGATTGGATGTTCATGCTACAGAATATATGGATCTAATCACTAGATTTAGGCTACAGTAACAGTATTGAATCGTTTTCAGACAAATTAGTTGTATTTTAAGATACTATAAGTAGTAAACACAATTGATAATGAAATAAGATATCTGTGGTGATTTTTAGATTAAATTTAATAAATGTGATTATTTTTATTAGTGTGTTATTTTGACATCTTTACAGATGTTTTTTTTTATATATTGTTATGAAGTCTCAGTGGCAGTTAATCATCTTAAATAAATTGAGAATAAAAACAGTACTCACCTGCATGCGCACAGCGATAATAAGTGAACTCAAATCATTTTCCAGTGGTTTTAAAACACATAATCTTGTCAACCTAAGACTGCATAACCTGTCAAACGAAGAACAATTATTGCAATTATTCCAAAGTTAATTCTGTTTGCCACATCAAACATCTTCATTTATTTTAAGTATGTGTGTCAGCCATGCTTGTCTAATGGTTGTTTAATCAAATATAAATCATAGCATCTTATCAATTACAATCTCTTTTGATACTTTTGATTTGTTTGGTTAAACAAACATAAATCAACAATATATCTTCAATTATAGTCTTTTATAAATTATCCTGATACTTAAAATTAAGAAAGGTACCTGTAAAGAAACAACAGTGGATACATTTATTTTCAAGTTGTTAATTCTGTAATGTCCAGGATCATTTTCACCAACCAGGTTTGGTGTAACCACGGCGATGAGACTAATTAAATGCGATTACATAGGAAAAATATAAATTATTAAAATGTGCTCTGTTGCATCACATTCAGTGTAGTTTGCCCCTATGGTTTATAATTGATTTCAATTTGTTTCCTGTTAATACTGTCTCATTAAATCATCTACCTAGTGAAAATTGCACTTTACGGTGTAATCAACATCAACACCGATTGTTATTTCCAATCAATTTTTTTTTTTAATTTCATCTATAATTGTATGCATGCAGACTGGCTCTACAAAACTTATGCATTTGTAAATAACATAGCTTTGACATTTAATCTTTCTCGTAAGTAAACAACAATTATTAATTTATTCATTACATGTATCTCAACTATTAATATATCCACCATATGAATATTATCTAGCCATGCTCAATCAGATTGGATGCCATATACAGTAAATCATGTTTCCCACTTTCTTATCTTTCTGCTCTAAAGGCCAACTCAAACAGCATCATACGACGCAGCCAGATGCAATTTATCGTTGGGGACAGTCTTTAGGTCATCGCGAGATTAAACTTACTAAACATGATTAACAGTCTATGTGACTGTCCAATGCAGATCTATCACATCAGCATTTAAGTCACATGAAGCAACAACTTGCGCTGGGCTACATCATATGAAATAGGCCTTAAGCTCTGAGAGGGTGCGGAAAAAGTATAGCTTTTTGTGGCTTCTAATACTGTATCACATACTGTATTCTAACGTGACATTTTCTATTACATTACTAGACTGACGTTTAACAAAACTATAAAATTTTATGTGATGACAAACACCTGTGATAGGCCCATATATAGGTGGGATATGACATTATCATGCCTAATATTTGAGGTATAATATGACATTATTCATGAACAATAGACATATCACGGATATTTTCACAGAAAACTTAATAAAAGTGTTGTCACAGAAAATGTAAGTGTTACAGAGCATGATAGGTGCCACTGCCTAATGGATAAGGTGCTAATCTTCCAAAGCCTAATTATGAAATGTAAGGCCTAGAGTAAATACTTGGACTAGGGCCAGTAATGCCTCCACAAATTTTCCCACATGTTCGAGAGGAAGTCCAAACTACGGGGCCAACTAGAACCTCGGCCAGGTTCCAAGAATAAAAATTCCTAGTAGGGTTCATTGGAATGGCTTTGCATGGCCAAAAATTGTGCTTTTAAACCATAATAATAGGGATTGGTATTATTAAAATTGCATAGGTAAATTTAGTATATTTCAGTTCCAACATTGTTGACTCGCAGTTAGGGGTGTACTGTAAACGGTAGAAAAACAACGACAGATGACAAGCGCATGGAGGTCATCACAATATTCACGTTATAATTCTACAAATATTATTATTATTTTTCAGTCACAAGAGATGAGAAACCATGTAGTGCAATCGCTTGTATTCCATAATGGACCTGGACTATTCTATTTTTTATCAGAGGTATGTTATGAATGGAGAAATGAGATACGGTTCACTGACTAACAATTGTCAAAACATTACGCTGCCGTATGATATATCGGTCACTATGTGAGTGTTTGTTGATTCTGTTTTTTTTCTTTACTACACCCACGAGAATTGAAATCAAGCAGCTTTTAACAGAATGAATGAAATGTGCTATTAAGCAATTAATCAATAGACATTTTGAATCTAAACCTGATAATATTATAATCAGTGATTTGGGTTTGTTTAACTTGCATTTATTCAGAAAATCATTTTAAAAAATCTATAAATGTAAAAAAAAAATGTAATTAAATAGATACTTATACAACATTCTTGGATACCTAGAATGTTTTCAATGCATATTTCCATAGGCAAACATTCCAGCTTATGCCTATTTTAAATCAATATGATTTCTAACCAAAAACATTAGTGTCTTTTATTTTTATAGATTATTATATAGAAAGCTTTAAATAACAATAATTGTCACTTATGCATTTAAAAGATTACTTTGTTTATAATTGCAATCGAATGATTGATTATTTGCATACTACTGTATTTTGAGAGTTTATTCCATTGCCTTGTTTGTACCTTGGATTGGATTGGATTTATTTGGTGGAAACACCAAGGATAACCAACGAAAATTTGAGGAAGACTTATTTCCAGTGGGGTCCTTCTGGTGGTGACTGGGCAGTACACTGGGAGACAATTGTCTACATTCTTTAACGTGCACATGGGCCATAATGCACACGGAACCAACGTCTCATCTGAAAGACGATGCACTATCTTAACTTTTATTTCAACCCTCTAGCTGAAATACAAGGAGAGCAGCGATGGCAATTGAACCAGGGACCAAGAGATCTTCAAAATTCAGTGCATACACAGTGGCTACTATCAGTTTAGCTGACCGAGCTAGTAAAAGCATTTCATAGTATCATAATATAAAAATTAATAAAATCTCTGCAATATCAAGTTTCAATAGCTAATTAGCCTGTCAATTATTGTAGGCTAAAATATTTTATACTACTAATAGGCCAAACAAAAAAAATGGTAAGAGCTTCAAAAACTCAATGAAAGAATAGAGGTCAGAACATGGAAGTAAACAAAACTTACTAAACTAACGTTAGCGCTATTAATCAATTAATAACTGGCCAAATTTAGACTACACTGCTACTAGTGCTACAACTGTAGTTTAGGCCCACACTTGCCTACTGTCTGTAGCCTGACCGACAATACTTTAGCTTAGCCTATGCGTGCTTGCCGATCATACACATTAAGGCTATGTTCACACACACGGCGTAAGGCTGGCTTAAGCATGGCGTAGCATACGCCTTTGTGTGTGAACTAGGCAGTCGCGTTGTTAAAGCCACTCACTACGCCACGTCCTTGGCGTTATTATCGCTACCTGCAGACCCCAGATTAGCTAACGCCACTGAGGCTATGTTCACACACACGGTGTAAGACTGGCGTAGCTTACGCCAGGCGTAAGCTAATTCACGGATTAAAATTCCAAAGTGTTCACACAAACGGCGTTCGCTATATTAACGCTGGCGTTAAACTAGTAGTAATATAGGCCTATGGGGGAATATTTTTAAGTTTTAATAATGTACAGGTTCTTAACTGTAGTAAAATTAACAGTGCATCAGTAAAAATTTTAAATCTGTGAATTGTTCGAAGTGAACTTATATGATTATTGTATTTTAAATGAACAATTTTACTTTGATTTTTCAGCTAGCATTGTTGGTGTTGCAGGTTTTAATAGACAGTCTAAATAGATTAAAATATCTTACAAAACACAATCAACAAATCATATACATTATAATATTGCCAGTCATGTCAATGTTTACTTTCCCCCTACTAACTGCAGCATAATGTGTCTTTTTTACCTATGCCAAAACAGTGGTGGATCCAGGAATTTGAAACAGAAAAGTCAATTTTACAGATTGGAGTTCTTAATTTAACAATAATAATAATAATAATAATATTTATTTGGCAAAGTATTAAAATACAATCTTGCCAGGAGCAAAGAATAGCATGAACCTTATCAGAAAACTGCTTTTACTCCACCATCAAAACCAACAGAAATGCAGAAAAATGCAACACTGATTAAAAATAATTAACTCATAAACTGAACTAAATTAAATTTAAAATCCTGATTTGAAGTTAACAATTACTACTTGAAGATAATCCAATCAGGACTTTTGTGAAGCAAAAGTATGAAAAGGTAAATTGGAAAATAAGGAATTAAAACAATATCTTTAAACAATAATGATCCAGATGAGTTAATCACATCCTTCTATTTTAATCTCTATAGATGTGTATAAGAGACAGGTGTAACAACAGACAGTAACAGTAGGCCTAGTGCTAAAATTTGGCCGTTTGACCAAATTTTGTCGCTAAAAAACAGCTCTCCTCAATTTCTTGAGGAGAGCTGTTAGTAGCTCTCCTGCTTTTTCTTTAAATCAAGGTCTGTCCTCCAGTATAACACTCCACTTAGCTCGACTTCTTTCACTTGGCTCGCCTCCCTTTAGCTACTATGATCACTTGACTTACTAGAAGTTACAGTACCAACAACTCCTCTAACATTAAGTCTCCAAAATTCACTCACTTCGATTCAACTAACCTTCACTTGGCTTCATTTCATCACTGGGTAGCAAAAAGAAAACTCACACATAGCCTGACATTTATATATTTGTTTGAGAAAATTGTATCCCCAACAGTGTTCAAACGTATTCCTTCTGATTATAGTCTACCAGCTAAAGACTGGGGCAAAGTATATTGCCTAATACGCAAAGATTAACAGCAAATCATTGATAGGAACTTTGATACAGAAAAACACCTCTACTGGTGATAATTACAGTAAAGGTATGTGTATTTGTTATTTAGCATGAGTATGTAACAGAGTTTACAACAAAGTCCTGAACATCAAACTTGGTTGACATTGTTTGGTGTAAACCATTGAGCTCATGACCACATGCATACAGGAATCAAACATTTTTCAGAAGGCATATTGAGAGTAATGAGGGGTTGCGATAAAATTTGTTTGTTTGAGTGTGAAAAATTGCTTGTTCTATTCAATTTACGCAAAGAGAAACATTAAATGAAATTTTTTTGTTTTTCCAAACATTGTTTAGGAAATGTTTGACAGCATGAAATCTGTTCAGGCCTACAAAAATGTCAAAATAAGCTACA